TCAATCTTAAATCGCAGTTCCAAGAGTTTTCGAGAAAAAAAAACCCCGGTTTTTTCACAGTTTCATCGATGATCCACTTTTACGGATGATCAGGATCTTCTGGAGGACGTTCCAATGGCCATCCAGGTTCCTTTTCTACGGATCTTCCGGAGGACTGTCATTGGGTACCATGTTTATGTTAAGACTCCAAATTCATTCTAATATCACAGTTCCACGGTTTTTCGTTCTTGGATCAATTTTATGGCTTGCAATCGGGCTAAGGCCTTGTTGTTCTCTGCTGTCCGAAGAAGTCGTCTCCACTCTACTCGATCCATGGCCAGACTTTGCCAGCCTCGTAGTCTGCGAAGGGTCCGCAAGTCACCTTCTACTTGGTCGATCCACCTTGCCCGCTGCGCGCGTCTTTTTCTTGTTCCTGTTGGGGCGCTTTCGAGAACCATTTTCACTGCGTCATCGTGCGACATTCTTACGACATGCCCAGCCTACCGTAGTCACCAAATTTTTGCAATGCGATGGATGGTTCTCCCAACAGCTGGTGCAATTCTTGGTTCATTCGCTTCCTTCACGTTCCGTCATCCAAGGGCGCGTTTGTCCTCCACGAGCATAGTCACGGTCTCGTGGCAGTAGACGACCACCGGTCTAATCAGCGTCTTTAAGATAGTCAAATTCGTGGCGAATTTTATTCGACCAGAGCGTCTTCCGGAGTCCAAAATAGGCACGATTCCCTGCCATAATGCGTCTTTGAAATTCTCTGCTTGTATCATTTTCGACGGTCACCAGTGATCCCAAATACACGAACTAATCGACCACCTCGATTTCGTCACAGTCAATCTGAACTCGGGGTGGGAGGCTAACATTGTCTTCTCTAGAACCTCTTCCTTTCATGTATATTGTGTTTAAAGCGTTGATGGCAAGTCCAATCCACCTAGCTTCGTACTTCAGTCTAATGTACGTTTCCGCCTTCGTCTCAAAGTTCCGTGCCATAATGTCGATGTCATCGGTGAAGCCAAGAAGTTGTCTTGATACTCGTGTCTATCCCAACTCTTCTGATCACACCTTCTAACGCGATGTTGAATAGCAGACACGAAAGTCCATCACCTTGCCGTAACCCCCTTCGAGATCCAAAGGGACTCGAGAGTGTCCCCGATTCTCGAACAACGCACATCACTCGATCCATCGTTGCCTTGACGTCAGTTTATCTGAAAATCCGTACTCGTGCATAATCTGACATAGCTGATCACGATCGATTGTGTCGTATGCGGATTTGAAATCGATGAACAAATGATGTGTAAGCAAGTTGTATTTGTGGCATTTCTGCAGAACCTGCTGAATCGCGAATATGAACCCATGAATTCCTGCTGGTATTGCCCAAGAAATCTCTTGCAAATGGTGACAGGCGGCGGCGTATAATTTGGGAGAGTACCTTGTAAGCGGCGCTCAGCAGTGTGATTGCGCGGTAGTTGCAGCAATCCAACTTGTTGCCCTTGTTACCGTTGCGACGTAATATCCCAACTTGCTTGCCGAATAAAAAACTATTCGTATTAAAATTTCAATTATTTATTGTTAAATGTCTAATTTTTATGTGTATATGTCTAAAAATAAATATGATAGTTAATATAAACTTCTTGTTAGGAATATACAAGTTACCTGCACACTCTACAAGTTAAAATGTTATATATATACATGCATAATAAAAGCAAGAACAAAGTTTGTTAAAATACACATTTAGTACACACAACAACACGTTAAAATTGCTGCAGGGGACGGTTATTGGATTGTCGCGGATGGATATAGGACGAATAAAAAGGAAGAAACAGAAAAAGGAGAAGAAGAAATGAAGGGCTAGCTACTGGGACTGGAGCAACAATCGAGGCTTTTTCCAAAGTACCACGGAAGTGAACGGATCATCGTGCAACATTAAAAAGACGAAGCTAAAACCTCGTGAGCGATTGTGGCCGTTTTTCCCCAGACACCCACGGAACCAAAGGGGTTAGTCTGTACCGTGCGTATCCTGAAGTTTATCGGCTTGTGTTTTGTCGCCAATCAGAACGCGAAGACCCACGCTAGCTCCCAGTGTTACCCCCTTGTGGACCAAATCTCGGCAATCCAAGCCGGCCCTCGAGTTTTGAGGTTAAACCGACGACGCTCATCCCGACATCGCGTGCTGTTTCCCTGTGTGAGCCACGCCCGACGGTAACCGTAGCCCGAACCACGGTCAATCACACAGACTGGTTCCCTGAGCGCACCCAACCAGACGACGGCGCCCAGTATCATCACGGTCCCCCCCGACCACTCGCCCGCGACCACGTGTCCCCTCAGCAGCCGGCCGGCCAACCATTACACACCCAACCCACTGTAAGTGTTAGTTAGGAAATAAAAAGGATTAAAGTGAATTTGTGTGTCGTTTAATCTATGAAAGATTGGACTCTTGGATAGCGATTCCATGATAAAAGCCGACCCTGAGAGTGAGAGGCCTCAAGCTCGAGCTAGCCAGTAAAAAGAGGCGGATGTAGCCCACCCCAGACGACCTCCGTGGCTAGACCAGAGGTTAGGGGAACCTTTAAACTAGCCCTTCTGGCTAGGCAGTAACACCCTTTTTGTAGATTGCTTCACTCCTCCGGTAATATCCCCTCCTCCCAAATCTTGGCAATTACCCAGTGCAGTGCTCTAGCCAGTGCTTCACCACCGTATTTTAATAACTCACTTGATTGTTGATCTACACCAGTTGCTTTGTTGTTCTTCAGTCGACCGATCTCCTCCTCAACTTATTGAAGATCAGGGGCCGGTAGCCTGTCGTCTTCTGCGCGTGATCCAAGGTCTGTTGCCGTGGCACCTTCGTTTTCTGCTGCATCACCGTTGAGGTGCTCGTCATAGTAATGCTTCCACCTCTCAATTTTATGGAGTGACCATTTTACGGATGTTGTTGATCTTCCGGACGACGGTCCCATGGCTATCTAGGTACATGTTTAAGTCACGATCACAAATTCATTGTTATATCAGAGTTTCTAATGTTTTTGGAAAAAAATGCAGAGCTCTAGGATCAGTTTCATTGATTAACCTCTTTTACGGAAGTTCTGGACTTACCAGAGGATGGCCCCATGGTCATTTGGGTCCATGTTTATGTCATGACCCCAAAATATTTCTTATATCGCAGTTCCACATGCTTTCGAAAAAACCGTTCAACTCTAGGATCAGTAACGAGGGTTCACCATTTTTAAAGATGTTCTAGATCTTGCGGAGGACGGTCCCATGGCTTTCTGGGTACATGTTTATGTCACGACTGCAAATTAATTTATATATGACAGTTCCAAGTGTTTTCGAAAAAAACGTGGAGCTCTAGGATCAGCTCCATACATTGACCACTTTTACGGATTTTTCGAATCTTCCGGAAGACGTTCCGATGGCCATCTGGGTCCATGTTTATGTCACGATCTCAAAATCATTCAAATATCACAGTTCCTAACGTTTTCAAGAAAACCACGGAGCTCTAGGATCAGTTTCGTTAATTTTCCACTTTCACGAATGTTCCGGATCTTTTGGAGGACGGTCCCATGGACATCCAGGTTCATGTTTATGTCACAAGCCTAAATTCTTTCTATCATCACAGTTCTTAATGTTTTCAATAAAACCACGGAGCTCTAGGATCAGGATCGTAGATTTACCACTTTTACGGATGTTCCGGATCTTCCGGAGGACGGTCCTATGGACATCCAGGTTCATGTTTATGTCACGACCCCAAATATTTGTTTATATCACAGTTCCTAATGTTTTCAAAAAAACCGCAGAGCTCTAGGATCAGGATCATGGATAGACCATTTTTTGGATGTTCCGAATTTTTCGAGGACCGTTCCGTTGTCTCCAGGATCCATATATAGGAACCATGACTGTATTCTGGCTAATTGTGAACATTTGTGCCCATTATTCTAAATTACAGATCTTGCGCCACTTGCAAAACCCTACAAACACACCTTTCAAAAAAAACGTGTAACAACTCTTTTCGCTTTTTAAAAAAGTAGACGACTCTATTTTCAAGTTTTTTACAATCAAAATCATCTAGAAACTCTAGGAATTCTAAAAGTACCACAATTTTTTAAATTCATTAAGAATTGGCTAAGTTGTGCCATTGCAAACTTGCCGTTACACGTTTTTCGGAGGCTTCGTAGTCGGCGTAACGTTTTTTACCCACCGTATTCGGAGTGTTAACTAACTACACTCAATGTACTGTTTTTAATTCATGCAGGATGGGTATTAGAATTTTAAATTTTGAATGGGAAAATAAATTGGAAACGAAACGAACCTATTCATTTGCTTGCAAAAAATACAAATATTGCTTAAATTTCGAAAAATATCGGAAATAGACTATAAATACTATGCACAACAACTTTGTCCAAGACTGCAAATCGATTAGACTTCTGAGAAGAAAAAAAAAATAATTCTGATATAAATTTTAGCTGCGTTCCCTTAAATTTGACAGATGGAAAATCTTCAGATAACCCTGCTATTCCATCACACTTATTTCTGACAGACAAGGAATCAACTTTGACAAATACCTTCTCGAAATTCGGTCGGTCAACAGCTGAGAGATTTCAAACATTTTAATTTGTTTTCGAATTGACAAATTTAAGTGAAAATTTACCAAATGGAAAACAGCTTTAGACCTATTGCTCCACGCATACCTACAGGCGTCTTATGAGCTTGTAGGTACATGTGGAACAGTTGGTATAAAGTGAACTTGTAACTTTTTGAACAAAGATCAAATCGATTAACAATCTTCCACAAAGTTGTTTTGTATAGTATTCTCAATCAAAGTCCGAGATTTGGTGGAATTTGAGCAATATTTCGATTTTTGGTAAGCAAATGAATAGGATCGTTCCATTTCCCAGACGTTTTCCCATACAAAATTTAAAATTCGTTGAAATTGTGCACAGTTGTTGGGAACCTTAATACGTATTGAAGGAGCAGTTAGTAACAGGAATGCGAAAAAAAAACGCTTTAATGCTTGAAAAGCAGAGATGAGTGGCCCTGGTTTCAAATAATAAAAATCCAGAATACCATTTTGATCTGAAGCTACTAGCTCAGATATCTTTAAATTCGTACATTACTTATCATCTAAGTCTTTTGATGCCTTCCATCCACGCTGAGAGTCTTACTTAATTTTTTAATCTAGCTTTGTTCGTTGCCCTCCACCGCGGCAACCGTCCCGACGTTCACCGGCAACTTTTCGTCCTCAATCAGCCCATTCCGGTTCTCGGTGGTGCCGTCCTCGAACGTTTGCCCTCGCAAGGAGATGTGAACAGCCCTAAAACCGGAGCGTTAAGTGCGTTAAAAATATCCTCATTTTGTCATAAATCACCCATACTCACATCGTTAGCAGGAACACCACGGCTTGGGTTCCCATGGTCAGCAGGAAGAACGCCTGTGGGAAGGTGTCGATGGACGCATTGTAGATCTGCGTGTACAGAACGCCACTGACCAGAGGGACGGCATTGTCGAAAACGGACAGGAACGAGAAGATGATGCCCCGCTCGGTGGTGGGAATCATTTTCGAGATCATCGATCGGAGCACCGGAGCCACCACGGGACCCAGACTCGATATGGTCGCACCGATGTACAGCAACCAATCCACTTCGGCGAAGATGTAGACGAATCGCGCCGTAGCATGGGCCGTCGCACCGATCATGATGATAAACTTTCAAGGTGGGAAATTGATATTTAGCGATCGAATTTGATTGGAATTTTGCTGGTCTTACCGTATCCTTCATGTGGAGGACCTTGGTAAAGAAGGGCACCCCCAAGAACATCATCACCACGTAGGCAGCCGATTGGTACGTCTTAAAGTAGCTGTATAGGTCGGCGTTCCAGTTGAACTTGAGTTGGGTGTACAGGTACATTTTGGGCTTTTCGTCGCGTTGGAATGTGTAGAAGGACATGGCGACCATCAGGATGTACAGGTAGATCCTTCGGTTCATGGTGCGCTTCTTGAAGAACGTCCTCAACGATGTGACGACGTGGTTGCGATCGAAGAAGTCTCCCGGCATTCGGTACCACGGGAGTTCCAGGATTGAGACTTGGCGATCCGTGGTACGAGATTTCAATCGCGCGATGGAATAGATTATGGAGAGGAGTAGAAGTGAGGCATTGATCGCAAACATGATCGTGAAGGATTTGGCAGTACGGTTGTAGATCAAAGTGCCGATGGCGACACCGATGGGCATCGTGCTGAGATAGGTTGCATCCAGGATGGTGATCCGCATGGTCCGATCCGCCACGGTTGTAATGTCCGATATGTAGGCAAAGCACGATGCGAAGATGGCAATGTCCGCTCCGGTCAGGACACTTGGAATCGTTGCCGTGTAGATGATGTACTCCACGGGCCACGAGTCCATTCGAGTATTGACCACGATCATCACCGAGTACACCAGCTTCCCGATCAACCCCAGGATCAATGGGAGCTTACGACCTCGTCGATCAGACCATGCCCCCAAGAACAACGCCAACACGATCGGAACGAGGTACATCGCAATGTTGTTCCACATGTGAAAGGTGGACGTCGTAATTTGTACCTCCTTCTTAATATCCTGGTAGTTCTCGATGTTTATGCAGACATCGTGAGAATAGCCGTGGTTTACCGTGCAGGCCTTGTACAGGAAGAACACCTGCTCGACCACCGACGTCAGTATGAAGGCCATCATGTACAGGAACATCGACGGTTCCACGGTGATCTTGTGGTACCATCGCTCGACGCGAAGCGGCACCTACAATCAGAACAAACCAATTGACGCTATTCCAGACGCATTTGATGAACATTCCTTACCTCAACCCCTTCATCGCTCATGGTGGTGATAAATCACATGGCCTAACTCGTAACTAATTGAAGTGTCGAGACTGAACTGCGAAGAAAGACTACCGCAACTAGAGCTATGGCTCTCAGTGAGGCGCAATATCAGCTGGAGATGCTTAATTGAGATAACGGGTCTGCTGTCTGCTGGACGTGAGATTGTCTTCGCTGCTGCTGATGATGAGAAGCAAGTGGCGGTGGTTGATGCATTCGGGGAGATTCAAGGCTGTCGAGGCTGACACGTTGGCAAGATTTCGCTTCGGAGTGGTGCTGGAAGAACATTCAACGGGGGGATTGTAATTTGAAATTATGCTAATATTATGATATGGAGTGTGCTTATACGAGGGTCTCAGAAAACTGTCTCATCTTTTTTTTATGCATAGATAATTCGTTTATTTGTCAAGGCTCATTCGCATTAGCTTCACGAAGCCGTTTATTTCGGTTTCTAATGGCAAATTTCCAATATCTAAGTCCTGAATAATCTTCAGGGCCCATGTCCAAACAAATTAAAATCTCCAGGTATGAATTTTCTTTTTAAAGATATTTCAATACATTTCTTGATCGTATTTTGAGGGACCAAAATTCGAACAACTGATAAAATATTACGTATAAGTGTACGGACATTGATCCAGCACAGTATACGTTGAAGATGTGGAGCATTTTGCTGCTCTCGGGATAACCAGATCACGAGTCCATTCTGTTTGGACTAGTAGAGTGTACTCGGTACAGTGACTAGTAGACTGATGTAAAATTTGAAATTATTTCCCCACAACGGCTCCAAATCGAGTCTTGGTTAGTCTCCTAAAATTTGAACTAATTTGGTAAGAAACTGAATTGGCACAAACCATTTGAAATGTTACGCTTCCTTCGAACTGCGTCTTGACTAGCTCAACATACTCCTTCAGCTTCTGGAGCGCTGCAGACTTCTTAGTTCTTCTAATACGGTTCGTAAAATCGTGATGTCCTCCGTCGATAGTTGGTGGTCCTCTGTGAAGATGTATTCTGCAACCTTTGATTTAAAATCATATGTTAGGCCTTTTTCCTCTTGCTTTTTGGCCTTATTAACCTCCGCTATATGTTCTTTAAATCTAGTTGCTAAAGTTCTCTTGGTTCGTCCTACATATACTTTGTTACAATGATAACAGCTTATTTTATATACAAGTGCTTTACCTAAAACATTAACTGGGTCCTAACAATGATTTCAACTGGTTATGTCTACTGGTGAGAACTAAATCTAATCCGAATTGTTTTAACTGTGGTCTTAATTAACAAGAGTCACGTTAAATTTAAGTTTCTATAGGAACAGGTACTCCGCTGCTTACTCGTTGATGTGTCCTAGGTAGTAACTTGAAAAGCCATGTGTGTCCGTTTCCTTGATCCCTGTTGAGTAAAGTTGAATTACGTTGTTTGTTGATCTCGAGGCTTTCTGCAACATCCAAAAATGAAATGCGAGAGATCGTGTCTGCAGTTGGTTCCCCCACCCACAAACTAGCGAAGTGGCTAGTCGAAGAGTTCCAGAGTATGCCGAATCAGTGCCAGAGTAAAGCAGTTAGTAACACCCAGGAGTTCGCCCAGCAACTACAATCTTCAGGAGACATCAACGAGGACGAGATTATGGTATCTTTCGACGTCACAGTTCTTTTTCCCAGCGTACCGGTTAAGGAAGCGATCAACCATTTGGAGGACTGGCTATTAACACAACGAGAGGATGTAGCATGGAGAAACAAGGTTCGGACGTACCTTAAGCTGACCTGGCTTTTGTATGGAAGAGAACTACTTCTCTTTCCGAGGTAACTTCTACAAGCAGATGAAAGGAGCCCCAATGAGAAACCCCCTATCCCCCTTCTTATGTGAACTTTTCATGGCCAACTTGGAGACAATCCTGAAGGAGAAAGGACTATTACCAAACCATTGGTGGATGTTTGTTGACGATATCTTCAGCGTAGTTAAACGGGAAGCCCTTCCACAAATTTTAGATGAGATCAACAGAATTCACAAGGATATTAAATTCACTCACGAGGTAGAAAAAGACGGGAAACTCGCATTTCTCGATCTTCTAGTCATCAGGGAATCGTCATCATCTTCCTCGTTTGAATACGAAATTTACAGGAAACCAACAAGCACCAAAAGAGTTATCCCCTATACTTCCAACCATTCGTTCCAGCAGAAAATGGCCGCCTTTCACCACATGATTCATCGAATGCAGACTCTTCCACTCAGCGATACAGGAAAGGTTAAGGAATTACAGTACATCTTCGAAAAAGCAAGACTCAACGCATACAAAGAGACCACAATCCTGGCAATCATCGATAAAAAAGCGAGAATTCTACAAAGGACCCTCACCGCAGCACCTGAACCATTGAAACGAGTGTCCGTTCCATTTGATCAAGATATTACTTGTTAACTAAGACCACAGTTAAAACAATTCGGATTAGATTTAGATTTCACCAGTAGACATAACCAGTTGAAATCATTGTTAGGACCCAGTTAATGTTTTAGGTAAAGCACTTGTATATAAAATAAGCTGTTATCATTGTAACAAAGTATATGTAGGACAAACCAAGAGAACTTTAGCAACTAGATTTAAAGAACATATAGTGGAGCTTAATAAGGCCAAAAAGCAAGAGGAAAAAGGCCTAACATATGATTTCAAATCAAAGGTTGCAGAACACATCTTCACAGAGGACCACCAACTATCGACGGAGGACATAACGATTCTACGAACCGTATCTACACCATGGAAATTGGATGTTGCAGAAAGCCTCGAGATCAACAAACAACGTAATTCAACTTTACTCAACAGGGATCAAGGAAACGGACACACATGGCTTTTCAAGTTACTACCTAGGACACATCAACGAGTAAGCAGTGGAGTGCCTGTTCCTACAGGAAATAAAATTTAAGTTTACCTATTTTCTAAGTGAAAATGTACCTGTGTTAATATATATTCGGTAAATGCGTTGTTTTTCTTCAGTCGCGTATTAGTACAAGACACTGAAGAAGTCTGCACATTGTAGACGAAATACGCGTATCTGTCAAGCATAAACAAATAAGGTAGTGGAATTAAATGGAAAATACTAATCCTTCTCTCTCTCATTAAAAACTAAAAATAAATTTTCTCAGTGCATTTTTTGCCGTATGTAGTTCTAAGTGACACCTCTCAACAATACATGCATGTATAGACGAGTGCACGGATGGATTTGAGTTCACTCGCTCGACAAAAAGTGACCCAACAGCGCACTATGGGCAAAAATGGGTCCAAAATTACCCAAAATTCAATATCTCAACAGCACGCTGAATTCCGGCCATGAAAAACAACTTTTCCGAAGGGAAATTGTCCGGGGAATCGATTGCACGTGGTCTTATAGACCGGAGAGCCTTGCAGGTATGTGTTTTGGACCATTTTACCCCATTTTTCCCTACTTTTTGGAGGAAATGTTGTTTCACAGCTCTATTTTTCGTAAAACATAAGCACTTTATGCATGGTTTGAGAATACTATGTCTTTAAACAACAGTTCATGAGATATTAGGGGAATACGGGGTACACTGTATAGGGGCTCTGAACCATTTGGTGGATTATTTTAACTTTTGGTTAAAATTTGACAGATGGAAAGTTATCGATTAACCCTGCTATCCGAGCATGGTTATTTCTGACAGACAAGAAGTTAAATTTTGACAACTGTGGCTCAAAAACCGGTCGATCGACAGCACGGGGATTTTCGAACATAGAAAATAACTTTAACTAGAACTGTTGTTTAAAGACATAGTATTCTCAAACCATGCATAAAGTGCTTATGTTTTACGAAAAATAGAGCTGTGAAACAACATTTCCTCCAAAAAGTAGGGAAAAATGGGGTAAAATGGTCCAAATGTCACTTTTAACCACGAGTTAAATTTAACTCGGCAAATGGTTCACACCCTGAATGGTTGAACGATGAAAATTGAACGCATTTGATTTAAATTAAATGCTTATATATATATTGGGCATTCTAAAAGTGAGACTCCCCTAGCCATGGATACAAGTTCGGATGATTGACACAGTATGAACAGGTTTCCTACGGACTCCATCATTGCACATACCTTTACACCTTTCACTCCATTCGCATCGAATATGACGAAGAATCCCTTCTGCACCAGCCGCTTCACGGATAGTAAACTGGACTTCAGTGCTTTCTATTGGTACTTCACGTAGCCGTCCAGAACCAAGGACGTCTTCTCGAATCAGAGTAAATCGAGGAAAAAAACGAATCATGAACTAGTTGAAAGCTTTAAATGATTAAACAAGCCTTCTTTTCTAGATTTATATCGATATAGTTGCAGTATTCTTCAAACACATCGCATCTATTATAGCAGTGCACACTTAGAAAAAATCATGTAAATTTAGATGCTCTGAGACTGACATATACGAGCGTCAATTTTGACATAACATTGAGTCATAATAGACGCGAAATTCAGCTCAATCAAACGTAATTTCAAACTTTTCAGTCTCGGAGCACTTAATTTTACATTAAATTTTTGTTTACGTCTCATCCATTGTGTCAAAGATAAATTCCGTCACGTGTAAGATTAGGTATTTTTAAGTGTGTGGCTTCGCGTAGCCTCACTTTTTACCTGCGCACTAAATTTTAAGACCTGGGTAGAAATTGGGTAAGCACTGTATTTGGAATATTTTGACCTAGGACTACGTCTTTGATTTCTATATGGGGGTACACTTTGTGAAAACCGAAAATGGAACATGTAACAAATTAAGAAAGATTTTGAACGTTAATAACTCAGCTGCCTCTGGTCCAATTTCAATAATTTTATCATCAATCGATCAGAAATATGGCTACGACAATGCTTCCGAATGTTTATTTTCAACAAGAAACTATTGAAAAACTTGTAAATGTCCAGCATTGTCCAAAAGCGTCAAATTAACTAACAAATCCACCAATTACGTACATGCATATGCTGCTTCCCCAGTACAGTCGTCAGAGAGTAGTAAGTAGACGAAACAAGTCGAAGTGGCATTCGTGTCCGATCCTCGGGCGCGTGCGAATTGGGTGGATTGAATTGCGTAATATTTTGCACACTCATCGCCATATTCAGAACCAAACGTAAATTCTTCGAGATAACCACCATCCGTCATCTGGGTCGCCGTGGCGGTGTCTGACATATCTCCGGTCTGATTTACGAGGTGTGCTGAAGGTGTTCCATAGATGTCATCTACGTTTTGAAGTGACAGAGACGCACTCGGAGGTTAAATCCTCACCAACTTTGGCAAAAAAACG